TGGCTCTATACACCACCACAATGGATTTGAAATGAAACAAACAAGATCTATTTTAACTGCAGACTGTCAGCTTTAATTTGAGGGTATTTACATCCAAATCAGGTGAACAATGTAGGAATTACAACAGTTTGCATATGTGCCTCCCACTTGTTAAGGGACCAAAAGTAATGGGACAGAATAATAATCATAAATCAAACTTTCACTTTTTAATACTTGGTTGCAAATCCTTTGCAGTCAATTACAACCTGAAGTGTGGAACGCATAGACATCACCAGACGCTGGGTTTCATCCCTGGTGATGCTCTGCCAGGCCTCTACTGCAACTGTCTTCAGTTCCTGCCTTTTCTTGGGGCATTTTCCCTTCAGTTTTGTCTTCAGCAAGTGAAATGCATGCTCAATCGGATTCAGGTCAGGTGATTGACTTGGCCATTGCATAACATTCCACTTCTTTCCCTTAAAAAACTTTGGTTGCTTTTGCAGTATGCTTTGGGTCATTGTCCATCTGCACTGTGAAGCGGCGTCCAATGAGTTCTGAAGCATTTGGCTGAATATAAGCAGATAATATTGCCCGAAACACTTCAGAATTCATCCTGCTGCTTTTGTCAGCAGTCACATCATCAATAAATACAAGAGAACCAGTTCCATTGACAGCCATACATGCCCACGCCATGACCATGACACTACCACCACCATGCTTCACTGATGAGGTGGTATGCTTAGGATCATGAGCAGTTCCTTTCCTTCTCCATACTCCTCTCTTCCCATAACTCTGGTACAAGTTGATCTTGGTCTCATCTGTCCATAGGATGTTGTTCCAGAACTGTGAAGGCTTTTTTAGATGTCGTTTGGCAAACTCTAATCTGGCCTTCCTGTTTTTGAGGCTCACCAATGGTTTACATCTTGTGGTGAACCCTCTGTATTCATTCTGGTGAAGTCTTCTCTTGATTGTTGACTTTGACACACATACACCTACCTCCTGGAGAGTTTTCTTGATCTGGCCAACTGTTGTGAAGGGTGTTTTCTTCACCAGGGAAAGAATTCTTCGGTCATCCACCACAGTTGTTTTCCGTGGTCTTCCGGGTCTTTTGGTGTTGCTGAGCTCACCGGTGCGTTCCTTCTTTTTAAGAATGTTCCAAACAGTTGTTTTGGCCACGCCTAATATTTTTGCTATCTCTCTGATGGGTTTGTTTTGTTTTTTCAGCCTAATGATGGCTTGCTTCACTGATAGTGACAGCTCTTTGGATCTCATCTTGAGAGTTGACAGCAACAGATTCCAAATGCAAATAGCACACTTGAAATGAACTCTGGACCTTTTATCTGCTCATTGTAATTGGGATAATGAGGGAATAACACACACCTGGCCATGGAACAGCTGAGAAGCCAATTGTCCCATTACTTTTGGTCCCTTAACAAGTGGGAGGCACATATGCAAACTGTTGTAATTCCTACACCGTTCACCTGATTTGGATGTAAACACCTCAAATTAAAGCTGACAGTCTGCAGTTAAAGCACATCTTGTTTGTTTCATTTCAAATCTATTGTGGTGGTGTATAGAGCCAAAAATGTTAGAATTGTGTTGATGTCCCAATATTTATGGACCTGACTGTAAGTAAAACATTAGCTAATCCTGGCACTGCTAGCCAGGGTTCCCAAAGTTTAGAGAACTTATTTGGGTTACCCTTATTTTGGTATATCCTTTTTTCTTTCAGTAGTGTAGTTTTAACTTCTATGCGCCAGTCCTAAACATTGGGGGAAAAGAGGAGAACCACTTCATGGCTATGGTTTTGTGGGCAACAAATAGTAATTTAAAAATTGTTCTTCATCTAGTTTAAACAATATACATACCATCTGGTCATAGGCTAGTTGCGTTTGCTAGACTCTATTAATCGTATCCACTATCATTTGCCACTAGCAAACAAGGTTGGGGCATTTCTACGACATATTGCCTGGTGAGTTCTTATTTTTAGTTTGACCAGTGATAATTTGAAAACAACTAGTGTTACTGAAGATATAGTTTTATTCCATTTGTCCCATTTAGAAATACATAGAAATTATGCTACTGACATAAAGTATATCAGAGCACTCAAGCTTCAGTTCTAGTAACATATCAAGTGGCTGCTTAATTTGTATAGCAGGCAACCTCTGTCATTTCTTATTTACTTTAGAGTGCTCCTGCAACTCCAACCTGAGCATTAATTCTGGTATGCCAAGCAAATAGTGAGTAGCGGCAGTGGTCACTGGCTGTGGTCTACCTTCTTCTGCATTTTATATTCTTATTCACATTACTATATCGCAGTTATGTGTCAGTCCTGGCAGCAAGAGGGTGCAAGTCACAACAACTAACCAGAAAAAAAACACAAAGTAACCGAACAATCGTTTGCATTTGCATATCAGAATTTACACAGGATTGCTTTCAATTTGGAAGTCTGTACAAAAAATACCTTTACTTTTTCATCCCAACTTTTGTAACTTGCAAGAGGACATCAGCCTAAGCTGCCCTGAGCAGCTATCTTCTGGTGTTCTGAAAGTTAACAGCAGTGGCTGCTATTCAGGAAGGTTGCACTGCTCGCCCACCCCCTCTTACCTCCTCTGCCATTAATAGATCTCGTCCTACTCTACTCCTATGATGCATCAAGTTCTGTGAATGGAGGAGTTAAAGATGTAGTAAAGTCTGTTTTTTACTTATACCTACAGGTAAGTCTATAATAAGGCTTTACCTGTAGCTACACTAAATTCCTCCTAAACATGCACCATTTAGAAAATATTGTCTTGTGTAGCAGCACCGGTACATGTGCTCTTAAGCAACAGCATGCCTGTGCCATTCATTCAGAACTGTGTGCTGTAAAAAGGGATTCGTGCGCATACGCATGAGAGTGACGTCATTGGGGCCATTCAAGCCGCCTGAGCCCACGAACCCAGAAAAAGGACCTAGTGAAAATGGAAGCCCTGTCAGCGTGTCGCTGGAGGGTTTAATTTTAGGGTATGAGTAGGAGTGACGTCATTGCTGTTTGGCCATTCAAGCTGCCGGAGCCTGCAAATCCAGAAGAAGGACCGAGTGCAGTTGGAAGCTCTGTCAGCAGTGGCAGCGTGTTGCTGGATGACTTCATTTCAGTGTAAGTTTCACATAATGTGCTAGTATGAGATGCATACTATCACATTATGCCTTTATCTTGCATAGAGTTTACTACTGCTTTAAATGATAGCATCTCCTGAAATGATGAAGTTACAGTTAATGATGGTGATATATTTTCAGTTAATATGAACATTAATTAGATTTTGTTATAACCTTCAAGATCTGTTATATACTACGGCTTCTGTATTGAGGCACTTCACAAAATACAGTTAAGAAAACTCTTCAGCCATGCTACTTTGGAAATGTATGGACATAGTAGAAATGCATACTCTGGTTCTACATGACAGACCTGCAATTTAAGGTTCCACCCACTAAATATTGAATAAAGCAAAACAACTATCAATTCACAATACTGTATCAGTCTACTAGACCTCATCAACACAAATGTTGATTTATAAGCTGAAAAGATAAAAGAACAATGGTTTGATGGATACTTGTCATATGATAATTTTCTAGTGTTTAAACCTAATTAAACGGTCCTTTTGGATTTGTTGTCAGCTATCAGTTCACTATATAAAATATAAAGTATGTATATGCAATTTTATTGGGTATTGTAAGTAGAGGTGTAAAAGAGATCCCTTTAGAGATGTTTCAAGTACATCTAATGTTCTAGGTAGTCATCTTGACTGATTTCAGTGAGAGGTTCTTTAAGACATGAGTGGCATCATCTATTCACTGCATGTGACAAGTATTACTGGTCAAGAGGATTCTTGCTGTGGCTTTGATCTTTCAAGGATTTAAAATCGAAACCGGCTAAAAAAAAATCAATAATATAATAATTGTTTTGAAGGAAATGTATGAAAATGTCCTATTATCACTCCAAAATAGTTTGATTAATCAAAAAAATACATCTGATCCGATGACTACTAGTGAAAGTAAAGGTGATGACGGTGGTTTTCTTAGTAAGAAGTTATGAAAGCCTTTATCTGAGAAATCTAAACCAAAATGGCAAAAAAAAATACAGCTGAACTTATAGGGTATGGCTTAGTAAATTACATAAACAAATGTGATCAAAATCATTTTCTTTATTAATACATCAAAGCACATAAAATCTAAAGTTAAAAGATAGCTCCAAATGGCAATTTAAATAACACCCATTAAGAGGCTACACCAAGGGCCCGTATATAAATATCACCAGAATAATGATGCAATGAGAATGATTTACTAAAACTGGAGAGTGCAAAATCTGATGCAACTTTGCAGAGAAACCAATCAGCTTCCAGATTTTATTGTTAAAGCTTAATTGAACAAGTAGAAGTTAGAAGCTGATTTGCCACCATGCACAGTTGCACCATATTCTGAGTGCTCCAGTTTTTTAAATTCAGTTTTATTCAAAGAGTTGTGCATATCAATCTTACAATAAACATGGAAGTGTAATGATATCATAAGTGGAATAGTATTGGCAAGAGACATATGCACATAGTAATAATTGACAGTATATTGCAGGGGTACATGAAGAGGAGAAAAGAGAAGGAAAAAAAAGAGGGAACAAACACAAATATCAATAAACTGACAGGGTACATAACTACAGATATTACATTACTGTAAAGTAACTGGTGCTCACCCATATTACCATTTCAGTCAAGGTATATGAAATTATCAAAGACCTAGGTAGGTTCATACACACAACACTCCATCATCAAAACATACAGATACAATGTAAGAGCCAATATACCACTTGCCGACCGCAGATAGCCGAATGACGGCTACACTGCGGCCGGCCAGTTCTGGGAGGGCGTCATATGACATCCTCCCAGAACGTCCTCTCCTGCTCGCCACCCAGCAATCTGATGTAGTAAAAGGCCAATCACAGTGGCCTTTTACCATGTGATCAGCCGTGTCCAATGACACGCTGATCCCCAGGAAATGCAATTGCCGGTTCTCGGCTGCACTTTCCTCACACTGTCAGAGCGTGGGGAACGTACTGTCGAGAACCCGCAGTTGTCAGAGCAGGGATTGGCACCGATCATCAGGGCATTGATAATTAGTGCCCTGATGATCCGTGCCCAGCAGTGCCACCCAGCAGTGCTGCCCATCAGTGCCCAGCAGTGCACCCACCTGTGCCTAGCAGTGCGCCCACCTGTGCCCAGCAGTGCCACCAACCTGTGCCCAGCAGTGCACCCACCTGTGCCACCCAGCAGTGCCACACACCTGTGCTCAGAAGTGCCACCTACCTGTGCCCAGCAGTGCCACCCACCTGTGCCCAGCAGTGCACCCACCTGTGCCACCCAGCAGTGCCACACACCTGTGCTCAGAAGTGCCACCTACCTGTGCCCAGCAGTGCCACCCACCTGTGCCCACCCACATGTGCCCACCAGTGCCACCCACCTGTGCCCACCAATGCCACCCACCAGTGCCCATCAGTGCAGCCCAGCAGTGCTGCCAGTCAGTGCCACCAGTCAGTGTCCAGTGGTTGTGCCAGTCAGTGCCCAGCAGTTGAGCCAGTCAATGCCTAGCAGTGCCGCCAGTAAGTGCCCAGCAGTGATGCCAGTCAGTGCCACCTATCAGTGCTGTCTATCAGTGCCACCTATGAGTGCCACCTATCCCTGACACCTCATTAGTGCTGCCTATCAGTGCTGCCTATCCGTGCCACCTCATTAGTGCTGCTCAGTGCTATCAGTGCCGCCTATCAGTGCCCATCAGTGCTGCCTATCATCAGTGCCCATCAGTGCCCACCAGTGCTGCCTCATCAACGCACATCAGTGAAGGAGAAAAATGACCTGTTTGAAAAATGTTATAATAGAAACAAAGAAACTTTTTTTTTTCACATTTTTTGCAATTTTTGTTTATAGTGCAAAAAGTAAAGTGCCCAGTAACGATTAAATACCACCAAAAGAAAGCTCTATTTGTGAGAAAAAAAAATGATAAAAATTTCACATGGGTACAATCTTGCATGACCGCGCAATTGTCAATCAAAGTGCGACAGCACTGAAAGCTGAAAATTGGCTTGGTAAAGAAGGGGGTATAAGTGCCTGGTAGGCAAGTGGTTAAGGTGGCAAGTCAGAGACTAAGTGAAGCAAGGAATCACTGGAGTCTATCCATGGTCCCCATATTTTAAGACATTTCTTAGGGCATCCGCTCGCCTCATGTGTTAACTTATAAAGTGGGAGGTTTTGATTGATCAATTTTTTACATTGGTCCAGATGAAGGCCATCAACCTTTATCCAATGAAGAACTATTGTTTTTCTAGCATAAAAGAGTAGTAGTCTAGAACAGTTCTACGTCCTCAAATACTCCCAATAGACACCATTTGGGATTGCATACATTAGGTAGCTCAAAATTAGAGGCAATAAAAGTGGTAACCTCCAACTAAAAGGCCTGATCTTGGTGCAGGCCCAAATCATGTATAAAAAAGTCAGCCTGTTCAGCCTCGCATTTGTGGCACAAAGGTCACTCCTGTTTGTGCATAAGAAAGAGTCGCTTGGGGGTGTAAATTCTTTGGATATATCTTAGTTAAATAAATGTATCCCTGGTTGATATAACAATGTCAAAAAAGCAGTTGAGTGATCCAGTTTAAGTAAATCTATCTCCAACTCCATATACTGGGAGTAAGCAGTGTACTTTAACGGGTCACTTGGTGAATATAGCCTCATATGATTTGAGGTGTGGTGTGGCTTGATAGAAGTCCCTATATTCTAACTACAATATCTGAGAACCCTGTGAAAATCTTTAGGGTATTAATTTACCTAATGCTGGCCATACACATATAGATTTTTGTTGAAAATATTCATTTTAAGAATATTCGTTCAATTTTCTAATTGCTAGTCGGGTCAGGTTGACTTTTCTTTTCAACCGCAGTGATGGGAAAATTTAAATTAGCAGGAAAGAAAACTTTTCTCGAGCAAATTAACTTTCAGGACATTGTATGTGGTTTTAATTCAGAAATTACATTAATTTTAAATGAATTTATGTATGAATATTCTTTTCAAAAAATCTATGTGTATGGCCTGCATAAGATTTGTAAATACTTGATGAATTCCTAGGACATACTGTTTTCTTAGGTACCAAATCTAAGAATTGGTTTACTGCCTCCAGAGCAATTTTTTTTCACAGCTGTTAAAATTGGCATTTCTTGGCTAGAAAATGCCCCAAAACACTTCTTAATATCTGAAAGCAGAGGACATGTAGAATAAAAATACAGCAGTTTAAAATGGTTTATGTTGCATAATAGTATTTGTGCAAATTTTTATCTTTTGTTTAAAAAAAAACCAAAACAATTAATGTTAGTGCTGTTCTTCCCAATCCCTGGCTTTGCTACTTAAAGGCATAGTCCCAACACCTAGTAGCCTGCATGTCATCTATTACAGACACGAACCCAGTGGCCATAAACTCCTCTGCTCAAATTGCTCTAATACACACTCAGAATACACACATCCCTGAGGCTCTTGAATCTCAAGCGTTTGGTAAAACCAATAGACATTTCCCAATGTATACCTTAATGCAATAGACTTGGAATAAAACTAGGTATCTACAGGGCATTCAAGGTTTCACTGCATATAGTGTGATTTGGCACAATGCCTCATATGCTGAGCTGGTTAAATTGCAACAGGGTCCACTCTGGAAGAGCTTTGGTATTACTCATCTATTCCAAATCTTTAAGGATGGTTCTTTGCTACCCTTTTCTGATTTACAAAGTACATTTTCTCTGCCTGCTTCTGCAATCAAAGCCCAGGGAAACTCCTGCAACTGGCACTGATCCCCATCACCGTTCTTCAACTTAATTGCTTCTGTTGAAACTTCTAAAGGTTTATATCACAGGGATACTCTATGCTCCTGACTAGATTTCTTAGGCAATGCCTCATGAGGGTCCTGTCCCAATGGAAGAGGGATTTAGGTCTCATCTCAGGTGACCAATGGGAGGAAGCAGTTATCACTAGTTCGCTCAATGCATGTCAGGGCTCCGGGGTGTGACCAGAGGTATGTGACTGACGCAGTGAAACGCAGGCTTCAGATAAGTTATAAACAATATAATTTATTAAAGACTAACAATACAAACATAAACGCAGTGCAATACTAAACATAACACAGTGCAAACGAACCAAACAAAACCACCCACAGATAACAGTACATACAATGCAAGCGTCGTCAGGCAGGCCGGGTCAATAACAATCGGGCAGGTAGGTACCAGGGGGTCAGGCAGAGAATGGTCGGGGTCACAAGCCAGGGATGAAACAGGAGAAGTCAGCAGAGGTCCGGATCAGGCAGGGTCAGCAACGAATCAGTCAGACAGGAACAACAGGGACAGGGACAGGGACAGGGACAGGGATGCAGGTAACACGATACAGGGCCCAGGAAAACCACACACCAAGGCAGAGACTGCAGGTCTGGCCATCCCATAAATACACCTGCATGATCAGCTTCAGGTGTTTGGCTGGCTGCAGGGTTGAGTCTCTGATTGCCGGGAGCACCCGCTGGCCAGCCCTGGTACTGCAACCCACAAGGCAGGTGAGTCCCACCATTACTGGCAAGTCCATTCCTGACAATGCGGCTCAAAGACTTTCTCAATTATACATTCTGCATCGGGTACATTACACACCGCAGCGATTGTATAAAATGGGTATTCAGCCAGACCCCTGTTGTGTTAAGTGCCTGCATGATCGGTGATCTTTTCCACTTACTTTGGAGATATCCTAAGCTTCACCTGTATTGAAAGGGGTTGACTGACATTATTAACTCTTTCAGACTTCTGTGCCTTTGGATCCCAAATGCTACCTGCTTAATATTTTTTGGGTGACGTTATTTCATGTGATTTCACCCCGAAAACTATTTCCAGAGTTTTTTTTGTGGCTCATAACTTAATTCTAACTTACTGGAAGTCAGCCAACACTCCCTTCTGTAAAGGCGTGGATACAGGCCATAGGAGACTCTTTAAGATTGGAGAAATTCATTTAACAACATAGAGGATGTCCGAGTAAATTTAACAAGCTTTGGGTCCCATGGATGGATACCCCTGGACTTGGCCCGCTGAAGCTGGTCCAGATGCATTTGCTGCGTGGCCCTTTAGGTTGATTTATACTTGACCACTGGGTACTCTTTTATAACGAATCCCTTGTTTAGTGCCTTATGTGCAATGACCTTTGTACTGGTATTATTACTGTCTTTGACTCTGTGGCTTCGAAGAGGCCTAGGAGCTGCACCTGCAACAGTTTTTTTGCATGACATTCTGTTGTACTATTTGTCTGCTTTACCTCTATCTTTGACTCTTTTCAATAAAACCTCTTTTGATCTAGAAAAAAAAATAATGTTAGTGCACACAAAAAAAAAATTCCATTTTGACAAAATAAAAGATGAGATTTTGAGGAGTAAAAATATATCAAATATGTCAAGCCACCCAATATGTGTGACTCAATCATTGTATACATACATGTGCGTTTGCATACATATGCTTGTAAATTCTTCACTCAAATTTATTGCTATCACATAGGGGCTAACAAGCCCGCATATGAGATAGCATTAGGCATGTGACAGGAACCGTTCATGAATACAAACTGATTTGCTGTTTACTTGATTTTGTCAGCTCTGATCCCAGACATGCTCAGAGCTGAGCGCTGCCAGGTTGACCCTTTGCAGTGGATATCAGGAAAGAGATGGGGTCATGGTCTTCCAAGAGAAGAGGGGGGTGGCCTGGCAGGAAGGGGCCGGAAGGGGGGGCAGTACACTATCAGTCCTGTGAATGTTTTCTGGTGGCTCTACAACTGAACACATCACTTTTACCTTAAAGCAATTAGCCTGCTAATAAAGATAGAATTAAGCTCATAGCTACTACAAGCTTAATTCTCAACAGGGTTGAGAATAAAGAGAGGTGATCCAGCGGAGTATGGATGTACTGAGTCCTATAGGGGCCAAAGTTGCCTTCATAAAATGCCAGTTTATCCGGTCTAATGCCTTTTCGGCATCGGTAGAGAGTAGGACGAATGGGTTTTTGGAAGTTTTGGCAGCATTTATCAGGTTGAGAACGCGAGTGGTATTATCCCTGAATGGGAAAAATCCACCTTGATCGCTGTGTACCAAGCTAGAGATGTGAGGGGAACAAGGCAGTTTGCAAGGATTTTCACAAACAACTTCAGATCAGTGTTCAAAAGTGCAATAGGGTGGTGGCATAGGGGGAAATATATGCCCTACGTGCATCTGGAGGATAGCCTTCCCCTTTGCCAAGGAATTGTACGCTGCCACCATCCGGGACAGAGTACGTTGAAAAAGGTCCTTTAATAGGCTTATGTCAGGCCATCAGGTCCCGGAGCTTTCTTAGATAAAGATTGTGAAAGCGCTACACCCAGTTCCTTCGCCATAATCAGAGTGTCCAGTTCTTTACAGACAGAGGAGGTAAGGATTGGCATACCCGAAAAAGCAATGTAGGAG